CAAAAGCAATTGTCAAGCTGCGATAAAGGGCCCAAATTTCTGCCTCAATGCTTGAACAGTTAGTAAGCTTCCCGTAGAAGCCACAAATCCAAATTTCCTTCTCATCGCGGACCAGACCTCCAAAGCCACCATCTCCTGGGTCACCTTTGGAATCCGTATTCATCTTCAAAGTTCTTGAAACAGGAAGAGTCCACACAACCAGCCTGTCAGACAAAGGAAGAGCAAAAGAGTGTTTAAAAGCATCTTTAATATCAGAAGCATCTTTAACATCAGAAGCATATCTCTGAATAGTGAAGATGCTGTGTTGCCAAGAAGTGTTAATGTTTTCAAAAATAAACTGATTACGGTTTTTCCAAATTTGCGATGAAGTGGCAACAAAAATGGTAGGGCCAATAACAAAAGAGTACTTAAAATAGACTCTAGCCAAGCATTGAAAGTAAGATGTCTGCAGTTAAACAACCAAGTTGCACAGTTTAAATTAAACCAAATAGTACGGGCTTTGACAATTTCTGAAAATATGATCAACATCCTCAATTTTGTCACCACAGCTCACACACATAGCAGAGTTTGACAGCCCCCTCGTGACTCTTAATTTATTAGTCAGCAACCTTCGATGCAAAGCTAACCAAATAAATCCCTTGAGTTTTTGAGGAAGCTTCAATTTCCAAAGCCAAAGCCAATTAACAGAATCAGCCTCTTGAGCATTCACCAAGTCATAAACTGAAGCAGAAGTAAAAGTACCACTACTAGAGCCTTTCAAATGTGGTAAATCAGGAAAGGTAACAAATCTAGGGAGTTGAACCTTTAAAATAAGGTCCAGAGCCTCCCTAGGCAAAGTGATGGAGATTTTATCAATAGCCCACCTTCCTTCCTCGTCCAAGATAGTCTCCACCTTATCAAAATTGATGAGGTGAGAATAAGGAAAAAGAGAAGCCAAAGGACTTTCACCACACCACCAATCAAACCAGATAGAGGCCTTAGACCCATCACCAATGCTCCATTTACAGCCTTTCATAATAGTATCTCGGGTTCTCAGAATACCCCTTCTTATTTTACTAGAATAGTTAATGGGATGTCTTGTCTTTGGGTCAAAATAGTACGGGCTTTGACAATTTCTGAAAATATGATCAACATCCTCAATTTTGTCACCACAGCTCACACACATAGCAGAGTTTGACAGCCCCCTCGTGACTCTTAATTTATTAGTCAGCAACCTTCGATGCAAAGCTAACCAAATAAATCCCTTGAGTTTTTGAGGAAGCTTCAATTTCCAAAGCCAAAGCCAATTAACAGAATCAGCCTCTTGAGCATTCACCAAGTCATAAACTGAAGCAGAAGTAAAAGTACCACTACTAGAGCCTTTCAAATGTGGTAAATCAGGAAAGGTAACAAATCTAGGGAGTTGAACCTTTAAAATAAGGTCCAGAGCCTCCCTAGGCAAAGTGATGGAGATTTTATCAATATCCCACCTTCCTTCCTCATCCAAGATAGTCTCCACCTTATCAAAATTGATGAGGTGAGAATAAGGAAAAAGAGAAGCCAAAGGACTTTCACCACACCACCAATCCAACCAGATAGAGGCCTTAGACCCATCACCAATGCTCCATTTACAGCCTTTCATAATAGTATCTCGGGTTCTCAGAATACCCCTCCCAAGTGTGGGAAGCCCTTATTTTACTAGAATAGTTAATGGGATGTCTTGTCTTTGGGTCACTGTTTTGAAAGCTTCCATTCATTTTTGTTATGCCTTTTTCTTTAGGGGTTGTCGTTGAGAGTGATGTTGTCTCTTTCTTAAACAGCTATCACTCATTCAGTCAACTAATAAGCCATTGATAGCCTTTTTCTCTATTGAATGGAATCCCTAATCTTCTTATCTTTCTCAATTCATCAATGGACATCAAGACATTACTTTTATTTCATTAAAATTTTAATTAATTTTCTTCATTTTCAATTTATATATTTCTCTATATTGTAGGAGTGCCTTGTCCAAACACGAGAAGTTTGTAACTTGTTATCGGACAGATGAAATTAGATACAGAATACACAGATTTGAGGCAAAATTTTCACATCTGTAATTGCAAATATGTTGAGGGCTTAGGGAATATGTCGGCATGTGCTCGAGTTTATTATAGTAAACAAATTATTATATGTTATATAGAAAACATACCACTACCACCTCACCTACTCCACTAAACCTAACCCACTACACCACTACCACCTCCACTTCACCTATTCCTTACCTACTACACACTCACCCTCTTCTATATATAGGAATCATGAATCATTGTAATATATATAACATTATATCAATCAATAATACATCTATTTCTTACATGGTATCAGAGCAGGTTTAGAACCTAATATTTTTTCGCTTCACCGGCGGGCGGCAACCTCACCTTAGCTGTCCGCCGGACCTCAACCTATTCCGCTGATAAAATCAACAAAGATTTGTGCAACTGTCGTCATGTGTTTCACAGAGATTACTTGGATAGATGGGTGGATAAAACCAGGTACTGTCGTCAACTGTCGCCTCAGATTCCAATTCCTGTAAGAAAGCAACATCAAAACCCACCTGTGATGCCAATCCCAGTCCTTGCCATCACATGCCTTACAGTCAGTACAGCAGCCGAAGGGACATGTTAATGCCCAAGCACCACCGATGTCACTCCACTTCAATCCTCTCTGCCCACTGGCTCCACCCAGTTGCAGCAACCAATACAGACAAGTGGCATTATGCATCTGCCGCTGCAACCCCCACTGCCACCACAACCGAGACCACCTTCAATGCCGGCTTTCTCTCACCAGATTCATTCACAGATTGGGCAGAACCCTGGTTTCCAGCACTCTGGTCCACCTCAGCTGCATCATTCACAGCCCATGTTTCATTTAGGTAACAAACCTCCACCTAGCATGGGGCCTTCATTTCCGCAGGGACAGCCCCCACTTCCAAGTCAGCCACCACCTCAATCAGTGTATCAGGTAGGAGGTTCACATTTCGGTACAGAATTCAACAGTCAAGTAGGAAGCTCCATGCAACCCGAAAGAGCGCCTGCTTGGATTCCAGGTCTAGCTGATAATGCAATGGGATCACAGCTTCCAGGACCACCACTGATGCTCTCTCTCTCTCAGGGGCTCTTTCTCTCTCCTCCTTTGTTGTGTGAGACTGATGATGGGGTAGCACAGCAGAGATGTTCCACTTTTTATCTCTTTCTTTCCAAACTCAAGACCCTCTCTCTCCACTTTATCACATGGGCTTGTCATTTCTCTCTCCTCCGTTTGATTTCAAAATCAATTATTTTTTATTTATTTTCTCCAAATCACTTTTAATCTCTTTTAAATACCCACTCTACAATAATTTATTTTTTTGCAGGGGCACTACCCCCCACTTTCTTTTGAAACATCCATGTTCCCTTTGTCATCCACCTCACACCGATCTTTCTTAAATAATCACCTACTCCACTAAACCTAACCCACTACACCACTACCATCTCACCTACTCCACTAAACCTAACCCACTACACCACTACCATCTCACCTACTCCACTAAACCTAACCCACTACACCACTACCATCTCACCTACTCCACTAAACCTAACCCACTACACCACTACCATCTCACCTACTCCACTAAACCTAACCCACTACACCACTACCATCTCACCTACTCCACTAAACCTAACCCACTACACCACTACCATCTCACCTACTCCACTAAACCTAACCCACTACACCACTACCATCTCACCTACTCCACTAAACCTAACCCACTACACCACTACCATCTCACCTACTCCACTAAACCTAACCCACTACACCACTACCATCTCACCTACTCCACTAAACCTAACCCACTACACCACTACCATCTCACCTACTCCACTAAACCTAACCCACTACACCACTACCATCTCACCTACTCCACTAAACCTAACCCACTACACCACTACCATCTCACCTACTCCACTAAACCTAACCCACTACACCACTACCATCTCACCTACTCCACTAAACCTAACCCACTACACCACTACCATCTCACCTACTCCACTAAACCTAACCCACTACACCACTACCATCTCACCTACTCCACTAAACCTAACCCACTACACCACTACCATCTCACCTACTCCACTAAACCTAACCCACTACACCACTACCATCTCACCTACTCCACTAAACCTAACCCACTACACCACTACCATCTCACCTACTCCACTAAACCTAACCCACTACACCACTACCATCTCACCTACTCCACTAAACCTAACCCACTACACCACTACCATCTCACCTACTCCACTAAACCTAACCCACTACACCACTACCATCTCACCTACTCCACTAAACCTAACCCACTACACCACTACCATCTCACCTACTCCACTAAACCTAACCCACTACACCACTACCATCTCACCTACTCCACTAAACCTAACCCACTACACCACTACCATCTCACCTACTCCACTAAACCTAACCCACTACACCACTACCATCTCACCTACTCCACTAAACCTAACCCACTACACCACTACCATCTCACCTACTCCACTAAACCTAACCCACTACACCACTACCATCTCACCTACTCCACTAAACCTAACCCACTACACCACTACCATCTCACCTACTCCACTAAACCTAACCCACTACACCACTACCATCTCACCTACTCCACTAAACCTAACCCACTACACCACTACCATCTCACCTACTCCACTAAACCTAACCCACTACACCACTACCATCTCACCTACTCCACTAAACCTAACCCACTACACCACTACCATCTCACCTACTCCACTAAACCTAACCCACTACACCACTACCATCTCACCTACTCCACTAAACCTAACCCACTACACCACTACCACCTCCACTTCACCTACTCCTTACCTACTACACACTCACCCTCTTCTATATATAGGAATCATGAATCATTGTAATATATATAACATTATATCAATCAATAATACATCTATTTCTTACATAATTCAATTATCAGTTGAGCTTTCTAGAGTGTTCTTGCTGTTTTCTTTTCTTTAAATTTTTTTTTTAGACCTTTTTTTTGTCTAATTATTTATTCAATTCTTCTTTCTTTTTCTCTTTTTTCAACAAGGCAGTGGTGGTAGTGAATTCTATTGATGTCTCCAACAACGATCCTAGATCAGCAAGGCGATGAAGGAAATTATATTTATTTGCTTATGTTAATTTTTTTGGGGTATATTTATCTGTTTGTTGATTTATTTTTTATTTTTTATATTTATTTGTTTGTTGTCCAGAGAATCGTATGCTTCGTTGTTTCAAAGTAAGTATTCATGCATATTTTTTTTATTCTTTTGATTGTTTTATCAGCAAGAAGAGTTCAGTTAATTGGTTTTGTTGGTGGTTGATTTTGATATTTTGGGTTCAGTTAATTGGTTTTGTTGGTGGTTGATTTTGATATTTTGGGTTATTTTATTAGTTGGTGTGCTTTTTGTAGTACTTTAGTTAGTGTGCTTTGATTTTGTTCAGCTTCTATTTTTGTGGCATTGTTATGTCGTTGGTGAGAGATATAAGGGAAAACGAGAGAAGGTGTGTATGGTAGGGGAGGCAAGGGGAAGATAGAGAGAGTGGTGGTTGTGCAATTGGGGAAGGGGAGAGTCTGAAGGTAAAAAAAATTCAGAGAAAAAAATAGAATTGTACGAGATGTGGAGGTGGAGGTGGACGTGGAGGTGAAGGTGAAGGTGAAGGTGGAGCTAAATGGAAATACAAAAAAGGAAAAAAAAATAAATTCAGAGCATTGAGTTGGAAAAAAAAAATGAGTTCAGAAAATTCATTGTTTTGGAATGGATTCTTTTCAGCCGTTATCTTGAGTTATTTTGGAATGAATTCTTTATTGTGTTGTTTTAAAATCTGTTTTGTTTTGTGGTCTTAAATATATATATACATATATATTTTTTTCAGGTATGGTTTGGTTTTGTGAGTTTAAATCCTTAAAAGCCATTGAAGCCTCAATGGAACTTATGTCGGTCAGACCCTTTTAGATCCAATATCCTTTCAGATTGAAGGAAAAGCTCCATTCAGCCTCCATGTAGAAAAGGGAAAGAATAGTGTCCTGCCTTTAATCCTCATAGAAGAACCATCCTAAAATTCCTAATGTGAGTTTTCCTTTTAAATTTTTTCTCCTTTTCATTCTACAATATATGCGCCTTTCAGGCCATTGACTACTCTTTCTATCTCTCCCTGTCTCTATTTTCTTTTATTTTAATTCCCTAGCTCTAAACTTCAGTTACAACAGAAAATAATTGTGAAAGGCTGGTTAGAACTATTGGGGTGCATTTGATATTGAAGATAAAGCCACTGAAATTTGATGTGAGCCCAAATCAAGTGACAAGAAAACAATATCAAAAGTGAAATGAAAGAAGGTCAAAGCAATCTTTGAGGTCCATTTCTTTTTCTATTGTGTCAGGTATATTTTCGGTCTTCATTATATATGCTTCAATTCATTTTGCAACAAAATAAAAAATTGTTTTAGGATTTATAAAAACTTATTATTTATAGATTAAGTTGTTCCTTTTTTGGCCCCTATTATTAGGTGGCTTCAAAACTTTGTTTATTCCATCCTTTTGAAAACTTCGATTGTTGAATGTCTAATTTTATTTCATTTGTTTCAATTGTTGAATTTTAAATGTAGTATTTGACTTCCTCTTGAAAATTTATCACACTGGTTTTTGAAAATTCATCATATAGTGTGACATTTATCAGTGATGTATTCTTTCCATAATGTGCATAACGGAAAAAAAAAAAAAAAAAAGAAAGAAAGAAGAGAAACTATATTGTCAAAATTTGAGTTACTTTGGGAACAACCTTTTGCTAAGTGTTGGAATCATATATTGTCAAAACCAAAATTTATGTCTAATTGTCTCCTTATTTACGGAAAACTATAAGTTACAGATGCTTCTTTCTTTTCTGTTGTTGTCTCATTTTTTTAATCCTCATTGGAATTTGCGGATGACAGAATCATAGTATAGTGCTTTTGTTGTCCCATTGTTCTTTTACTTAGGATCTTATTTTTTAAAATATGGTTCAGTGTAGAGCTTATTTTTTACTTAGGAGCTTTTTTATTTATTTATTTATTTTTTATAGTGTAGTGCTTTTGTGCTCATTTTATGTTAAATACTTTAGAGGAGTTAGCAAAACTAGATGATGAAAACATGTGAAGAATAGGGGAACTGGGCTATGTGCATGGTGGTCAGTGGTGGTGTCTGACAAATCAAGAACTAAGATCCCCTTTAGCTGTTAGAAAGTTTATCGTCTACCATATGATGTGATTTGAAAATACTGAACATTAGTCATTTTTTCTTTGAATTATATTTTCTTCTTTAATCCATTTGACTTTATGTGCATGGTGGTGAGTGGTGGGGCATGATAAATCAAGAACTAAGATACTTTTTAGCAACTAGAAAGTTTATTGGCTATTATGTGATGCGATTTGGAAATACTGAACATTGGTCATTTTTCTTTTTTTGAATTAGATTTATCATTAAAGATGGAACCAAAATGGGATTGATGAGCAATGAATAAAATATAGCCCATGATGGAAGCAAACTTTTTTGTTCTGATATACTTCTTCCATTAGATTAGTTTTCTCCTTATCTAGGCGTTTCTCTCTTAATTTGGGTTGTTATGGCCTATAAGAACCTACTATAATAGCTCATTTGAATGACTCATGCATGATATTTTGGTTTCTTAATTTTCTGTTTGGTATGGCTTTGGATTGTATACAATTAGCTTACTTTTTCCCCCTAAAAAGTACTGGTTTGGCTATTACATGTTTTGGTGATTGTTGGAATGACTTCCATTCCACATCAAATAATAAATGTGTTGAAGATTTAAACCAAATAGAAAATGTGCATAATGAGGATTATGAAGAAAAAAAAAAGGAAGACAGACAAACCAAAAGATGCCTTGCTTAAGACAATATATGCCTCTTTATTTGAATTTTTTACTCGTATATATATCTCGAAGATTTATAAAATTACATTTTATTTGCAAAGAAAATATGAGTTACATATGTTTTCCCCCCTTTGTATTCCTCTCCTTATTTTATTTTATTTTTGGAATCCTCTTGGAATATAAGGACAACAAAATCATGGTATCGTTTTTCATGGTGTTGTTTTTTTGTTGTCTCGTTGTTCTTACTTTGAGCACATATTTTAAAAATATGGTTAAGTTAGCTAGGGAAAACATGTGTGCTTATTTTTGTTGAGTACTTTAGTG